TACACATGGTGAAGAGCACAGACAAATCATTGAGGACCGTGTGTAATCGAGAACGAGCGGTTGATGGCACACGCACCGGTTGGTCAGAACCTTGAGTGCGTTGCCCGGAGTGACGCCGGCAAATAGCACATCGCTTTCCGGCATGAGCTCGGCAGAGTGGTCGGACAACATCATGTGCACGCCCAGCTCGCCTTGGGGAAGGTGGTTGCCATCCGCAAAGGGGCACGCATAGCCCCATTGCAGGAGACGATTCTGAACGGCTTTGTGCGAAGCCACTGCTTTAACGCCGTGTTTGGAACGCGTTGACTAGCCAGGCGAACCATCAAGGGTCGATTGGATGCATGAGGCGTTGTTCCACAAATCGAGAGGCTAGCCGAGACAAACGGGTGCACTGACCTTGCGCCGAAAGCTACCAAGGCGAGTCTTTGACTTGCTGGCCTGTGGAGGTGGAGCGTCATCCACGACATACTCGGCATACAGCCAGGCCATAATGGCCAAGTGCGGAAGCTCATGCAAGTTGCGCAGCGCAAGAAAGCCATCAAACACCAGGCGGGTGTCCTCCAAAGACTTGAGGCGCACTGTGCTGGGTGGTGTCACAAAAATGGATCCGTTGTGGACGCCCATCTATCGAGGCACACCGTGCCAATGAGGGTCACCTGGTGCGAGCGTGCTCGGTTCCAACGGCAAGGCGTGCTACCAAGGCAGGCCTTACCGACAGTTGGTAACCTTTGATGGCAACTTGCCCTTCGCTGACACCGTGATGCTATAGTAGACGTTGATATCACGGCAATGGGAAACGAGCAAGAAGATGTGAGAAGAAGATTACTCGCTGAGCCAAAGCATATGAGCCGAGAGCCTTCCTGAAGGCAGAGGCTTGGGGATGAGCTGATGGAACCAACCAGTGCAAGGGCTGCCATCAGCGTGTTGCTGTACTCTGAGGTGGAGGGAAACAGGGTTACGGTTATCTCAGCTGCTTCTCGACTGCAGGGCTCAGCCGGTTCGCAAGTGGTCGGCCAGGGGAGCCCAGATGTAGGATTCGTCAAGACGCCAGCCGGTGCATCGTAGGGCCCAAAAAACCAGTTGTCTTGGATATAAGGTTTGCAGTGAAGGAGCGGTGGCCATTGGGCCAAATGTAGGTGAAGGTGGCCGCGCTGACCCACGTTGCCCGCGCTCTGGGTGAGTTCATCCCAGTGGCTAGCGAGGGGGCCATCCTTGAGGACGAGAAGCGCGCGCGGGGTACCGGGCAGCAGAGGTTGGTTGTGGGTCGGCGCTGCATCGGGGCGAACATCAGTCATGCTAGGCGCTTCGGAGAGCTGAGAAAAGGCTGGCAGGATGGTCCAACCCAGCCCTAGGAAGCGGGTTGTGCGCTGATTGGCTTGGCGGGTCGGGGCCTGGTACCGCAAGACGAGCTCAACCACCACGTGACAGTCTGGGTCTAAAAGTCTTGTGAGGCAGGCGGCACGGGCATCAAGCCGGATATCAACATGCTGCTCGTGCCAAGGCACTGAGATCCAGGACGATTGCCAGGTGCGTCCGAAGAAGACGCGATGAAAATCATCGAAGCAAGTGTAGCGCACGGCCACAGCCGCTTCCGAGTCGGGCTAAGCAGCAAGGAGTCAAGCAAACACCCAGGGTGAAATTCGGTTTGGTGGTTTGTGTGGAATGAAAGGTCGAGCTGGCTTCTTCTTTTCCTTTTCCCTAGTGGACGAGTACACAGTATGCACAGCAGCGCGAGGGAGCTAACCTCGAGGTAGGAGGGGAGGGGAAGGTCCTTGATGGCCTGGCTTGTCAAGACGAGGCCGTTCCATTCGGAAGCCGTCTGGAAATCATTGTTTGGAGGCAAAGGTAGGTAGGGGATGCGCCGCACATCCTCAAAGCGCATGGCGACGGGGCTTGCCATGGCTAGTCAATCAAATTGACAGATGCGCACTAGGGGCCAGCTTCAAAAGGAAACCGAGCAGAATACCCCCGTTGCTCGTCGTGCTTAGCAGCGAGGGCGCATTGGCTTTCTGTTTCTTGCGAAGCTCGTGCTACCCAAAAGCTGTAGATTCGCCGATCCCTCCCGTCCTGCAGAGACAAATGGCAAATCGCGGACCTACCGATCTCTCATGTAACTCACCAGCCAGCACTACCAGGACCAGCAGCAGCAGCCAGGCGTGGTAGCGGGGCTCGAGGAATGTTCCACAAATTTTTTTTGAGCAAAAATCGAAAATTTTAAAAAAATAAAATGAGAAAATAAAACCGATATCGAGCATAACCCTTCAAAGTTAACTTTCTGACATCAAAATTTTGCTGACAAACTCGTGGGTTTTTTTTAACTTTCCAGGTACGAATGAGACTGTGCAGGCATTTTCTTCGCAGTGGAAAACCATGGCGGTGCTGCTGAATCGGATGGCCCTGGTGGCGGTCGTGTTGGCGCTGCTGGTAGCCATGGTGGTGGCCCAGGCTCATGAAATTGGTACAGTTGTGGAGCTGCCAGCTAATTTTACCTTGGGATCGTTTGAGGTTCAAGTAGCAAAGGGGGTGACGGTCGTGGGGCCACATGGGACGGCCTGGCAGTCCGGCTTGCCCGTGGCTGAGCTGACCCTGCTCAACTTTTCCATTGATGGGCGCGATGGTGTCTTTGCCGAAAACGGCAAGGCCCTGGATCAGGCCCAAGCCTTGACTTTAGTCAACGCCACGCTGGAGCACAGCTGCTTGAATATTGTGGGCTGGTTCGACAACGCGACGACCGCCACCTTGTCCCTGTGCATGACCAACCTCTCAGATGCTCAGCTCCATGCCACGCTCGCCCTCGGACCGACCTCGCGCTGCCAGTCCTATGGCGCCGCAGGTACAGGGCCTGTCTGCCAGCTGGCATTGCACACGGCTTCCCAAGCCCACCGGAAATACCATGGCTTTGGGGAACAATATTCGGTACTTGACTTTAAGGGCCGTCGCGTGCCCATCATGGTGGCCGAGCAAGGGGTGGGGCGTGGGCTCGAGCCTCTGACCTACTTTCTCAACACCTTTCATGATGGTTCGGGTGGCAACTGGGCAACCACCTATGCCCCAATTCCACACTACATGACCTCGGATCTGCAAAGCGTCTACTTTGAGGATGACCTCTTCATGTTGGTTGATCTCACACAAGCCGACATCACCACCAGCTACCACTTTGCCAGCGCCACAAGCTGGTACATCATGACGGCCTCGTCACCCAAGGGCCTGGTGTCTGAATATGCCCGGCATCTTGGACGTCAGCCCATGCTACCGGTACGGCAACGTCCTGTCCTCTATGTTGTTGCCCCTGATTATCGAACATTTGCTTGCAATGGTTGAAACGTTCTTGCAGGCGGCGTGCCGCTCATCCTGAATTTCCCCTTTTGTGTTTGATCATGTCCTGCTTCAATGACTAGGAATGGAGCCTGTCCGGTCCTATCATTGGGTTCTACGGTGGCACAGACCGCGTCTTGGAGCTGTATCGCAATGTGACCGCTCTGGGCATGAATGTGACGGCTTTTTGGCTTCAGGACTGGACCGGCGAGCGCGAGACAGTGTTTGGGGATCGCCTTTGGTGGAATTGGGTGGTGGATGAGGAGCATTATCCCAACTGGGACTCCATGGTGCACACCCTCAAAGCAAACGGCACCCGCGTCCTCACGTACATCAATCCATATCTCGCTGCCACCCGCGATCCCAAAAGTTCTTCCCCCTTTCTGTTTGCAGAAGCGGCCAAATTGGGCTTTCTGGTGAAGAACAGCACTGGCGACCCATACATTGACTACTCGGCTTCAAAGGATTTCACGTTCGGGACGATCGATCTGACCAATCCTGAGGCCCAAACTTGGTATGCCAACATTATGCAAACTAACATGCTTGATCGGGGCCACTCTGGTTGGATGAGCGATTTTGGCGAGTACCTGCTCTTTGATGCCCGCCTCAACCAGTCCACGCCAGCTGCTGTCCACAACCGCTTTCCCGAGCTGTGGTCGGAGACCAATCGCCTTGCCATCACCAATCAAGACGGGACGCTCAAGGACGTACGTTGTGCAAATTGCACGGGCAATGGGAGATGAGCTGGCGTGGAAGATGCCAGATGAGCTGGCGTGGAAGATGTCAGATGAGCTGGTGTGTGAGGATGCTCTAAATTGCGTTTCTTATCTTTTGTGGCAGGCTCTTTTCTTCTCTCGGAGTGGTTTTCGCCAGAGCCCAACCTATAGCACACTTTTTTGGATGGGCGACCAATTGCCGACCTACGATAGCTGCGACGGGCTACAGTCGGTATGTACGTCTGGTTGGGCCAGCAAGTCATCATGCCACCTCAAATTTCTCTGTACTTTGGCCTTGCGCGTCGTCTTTAGATGCTGATTGGCCGTCTCAACAGCGGACTTTCTGGGTTTGCACTGAGCTCCTCAGATATTGGCGGGTGCGTGTGCCGCCTCCAAACATGTGTTGATTCAACTCTTGAAATAAGCTTGCTTCTGTTCTGCTCCGCTCTGGCCGCTGGTGATAGTTGTACTTTTCTTGTTCATCGCCTGACTGCTTTGGGATTCGCGGCGGTTGGCTGTGTGGCTGTTGGGTGAGATGTAGGTATACCATGGTCAACGTGCCAGTGGTCAAAATTCGTCGTTCCAAAGAGCTCTTACTTCGGTGGATGGAGACGTCTGCAGTGACTGACATGATCTTTCGCTCACATCAAGGTGAGGCAGCCTCGCTGGGGCGATTGTCCTTCCGCTCTCGTGGACTGGGTATTGATGGAAGACTCTAATTGCTTGGTGACACCACGCTTGCTGTGATGTAGGCAATGCACCCAACGCGAGCTGGCAGGTGTACTCCGACGACGCCACGCTTCGCTGTTTTGCGCGGGCAGCTGCCCTTCATGACCTCTTTGTGCCTTACCGTAAAGGTATGGAAAAGATTGTCGCCGTGACGCAGATCGTCTGACCGGGCGGGCTTTTGCGTGGTTGATTTTATTTTTGGCGCCTGCAAAGAGCAGGGTGGCGTGACGATGATGCCATGATTGACTTGGCCGTGTTGCTTATTTCGCGTGGTGTGGATTAACGCTTGGGGCCGTGGGGAACAGCTTTGATGGCATCTTACCAAACGGATGGACTCCCACTCATTCGGCCGCTCTGGCTAAACTTTCCGGACATTGCCATGGACACGGGTTTCAACAACAATACTGGTGGTGCTTGCAATGTGCGTGAGCCATTGGCAGCTTCTCTCGACCGGCCTCAAACCATCTTTGAAGCCAATCAACCATGTACCTGTATCTCACACGTTTTTGGAGTCATAGGCCGTTCCCGAGCTGCAACTGATGCTTGGAGATGACATTTTGTTTGCTCCAATTCTCGAGGCGCAGCAGACCTCACGGCGCGTGACCTTTCCCACTGGCATTTGGGTCGACATTTGGTCACAGCGCCAGTATTTAGGTCCTCAAACAACGACACTGCAGGTCCGGCTTTGATGGTGGCGCTGTGAATGGTGTTGTACTGCACTCACTTTGATGCGTTATTTGCGAGTGCATGCCCTCACCCGTTGTGTTCTGACTGGGCGGGCTTTAGGCACCATATGGGCAGCCATTGATATTTTTTGCCGGGGAATCTGCGTACGGCCCCGCCATCCATGCCAACATTGACCAAGTCACACAATGGGACTGCGTTCTTTAGCGTGAGAGAGAGGGAGTGAGAGTGTGTGTGTGTGTGTTTGTGTATGCGTGAGAGAGACTCCACGTCCAAGACATAGGCTAGAGGGCATAAAACGATGCCCCTTGCAAGGAAGGAGTTGGCCAGTGGGTTCTTCTAATTCAAAAATTGATGGGGGGTTTTTTTTTCTGACGTTGTGTGTGTGTGTGTGTGTGTGTGATTTTTTTTTTGACGTTAAAAGTGAATTAATCGATCAAGAACGTTGGCTGCGAGTGTGAGGCCGAGCGCACATCAAGTCGAGGAGGATTGTGCGGGAAGTAGATTGGCCAATGCCCGATTCTCGAGAGGCGTGTGATTGGGACCGTGACCGTGGCCATGGCTAACAATGTAGGTACCGCTGCTCCGTGTCCGCCCGTGCTTGCCTGCACTGAGTGCTGAAGCTCATCTCGCGTATCGGCGCAGCTGCTGGGCTCGGATTGGGACGATTCAGACTTGGTCAACGCTTACGAGAACGCCGTCACCAGCTTTGCCGAGGAGGAGGTTGATGAGCAGGTAGTATTTGCTCCTCAGTGCGTGCCTCATCGGGCGGAGCAGCGGCCCAGTAGACGTGAGCAGCGTGCCTTTCAGCACTCGTTGCTCATCAAAAATGCATGCAACAATTCCTTAGGCTGAACATGGCTTGAGCATGAGTGATTTGGCAAACGCCGCTGGCGCTGCAGCTCGCCGTGTGCGTCATTTGTTTGTTCGGAATGCATGTCGGGGCCAGTTGGGGCTGAGCCTACCAGTCATACACGCCGCAATGCTCACCTCTCACGCGGTGTCGCTGAAAATCAGGCAGGGCAATGGCAGGTCGGGGATATGTGCCAGGCTCGATGGTCTGAGGACCAGGAGGTGCGTGTGCATATCAAACGCGCGCAAACATGGGCGTTTGTGGCCGCAGTGCCGCGTCTGTTGCCGCGAGCCATGCAATCAACTCACGGTACTTGTGTATGACATAGGTGTACGATGCAGAGATAAAGCGGATAGATGCGGCGCGCGGGGAATGCCTCGTCTTGTACGTGGCATACGGTACGCCATGCCCCGTCCTTCTCTCACAGACGAGCCAACCGCATAAAGAAGGGTTCAGCCCATGAACACTCAGACTTGGCAATTTGTAGGCAACAGCGAGGTCCAGCGCTTGCTCGACCTGCTTCCGGCTGGGAGCGTGGACACAAGTTTTCATTACGCGGAGGAGACTGAAAATGGCGTGGTGACCGAACCCTCCGCATCTTCGACAGCAGCGCCGGCCCCGCCGAGCCAGGTTGCCTCAGAGACTGCTCGGGCGCCATCCACCGGCGCAGTTGAACAGAACGGCGTGGGGACACGTTCGCCCGCGAGCGGTACCGTGTGGTATCCCGGGGCTCGGTGCCGCGGCACGGATGCCCGCACTGACCAAGAGGTGTGCTGTGCTTGATCCGTATGCTTCAACAACTGCCTTGGTGCATGTACCGGTGCACACGCCCCTGCTGAGACTTTTCCGTGCGGCTGGCTTGGCGGTGTATGGCTAGGCCTCGGGACTTGTGGAGTGCGTCAACATGTATGACCAGTCTTGCACCGTGCGATGGCTTCATGATGGCCATCGGCAGCATGGCATCCCGTTCTCAGCGCTGGTTGTGGAGCCTGGTAGGCACCGCGTTTCGTCGACGTGCATGGTAGCCGGGTACAAAGTGTCTGGGGAGTCAATGATCTATTGGTGCATGCCTTGGTGCGTCGGATAGGCTTAGAAAACGGATTGCCAGCAGGCCCCAACTCAGGGCCACTCTCAGGGCCAGAGGTGTTGGCCAACATGACCATGCATTGGTACAATGCCGGCTTTTATACAGGTGGGATTCGTGGCGCACTGCGGGATGCAGGCTCTTCTTCTCTGGAGTTGGCAAGTTCATGTCGACCATCTTGTTGCGCACTTGTGCAGGTTATTATCAAGCCCTGGAGCAACTCCGCCATTCCAACGACACCACATAGTTGTTGGTCGTGTTCAATTGGGTCCCCTGCAGTGGGAGACAAAAACCCATAACATCTGCTGTAGCACCGTTGCCGCATCTGCCAACCAATAGTGAAACAGATGGACTTGAGAAAGAGTGGTGAGAGGGGAGAGGAGAGATGGGAGCGCGCGCGCGTGGCATTGAGGAGATGATTGGCCTGATGAGAATTTACGCGAGAAATCAACCGAGACATCGCGACTTGACCTCTTCTTCTCTCTAAGCTGCAAGTCAGACCCTCAATGGCAAGCTGAGCCCTGTGAGGCGTTCCTGCGTGTTGCGCGAGCCCGAGCCCGAGCCCGACGTTCGCGACCCCACGACGCGCTTTCAACACTATCAGCAGCAACCCTGGCCCCTCTCTGCTGCGCGGACCTTTTCGTCCTCAGTTGTCCAGACTCACCACACAACCGAAACCTCGCCGAGCAAGAAAGTGGCTGCATGGGCAATAACACGACACAACCGCATGGGGTTTGTCAGCAGCCAAGCGTTTGGGGGACAAAAGACTTAGTATTCAGTTTCGCTGTGCAGCTGGGTTTCATGCAGCAGGTTCAGGTTTAGGGTCCGGGCGCAACGAATTAAGCACCGCAGGCACACAGACACACACACAGACACACACAGACACACACACAGTCATACACACACACAGCATCGTTGTTTTTTTTTCAACCATGTTGTGCATCATCTTGCTGGACGAGATACGAAACGATTTTTTTTCCCGCTCTTTTTTTTGCGTTTCAGTCTCTTTTCCCGCCGCTGGTGGAGAGCCGCCCTGACTGCACACCTCGCACCGCGACTGCATGGACTACACAAACAAAGTCATCACAGCCTGTCACAGCGTCGTCAACTCCACCCAAACCAGCACGACCGTCTGACAAATTGACCATGATCAAGGCAAACTCAACAACAGGACGACAATCAGCATCCCGATTGGACGAGCCATCACACTCAAGGGAGAACCACGAGCGGCTGGGGAAGCGGACCGGCGAATGATGATGCATGCGAGGGCAAGGGCTTTTAAGGCTTGGCTCAAGAAGTAAACCCCTCACGGCAGGAGGGTCTTCAAGGCCGGTGGGTTTCTTGCCGGTGGATGATTCAAGAATTCACGGTGCATCTGCAAGCGTCACTTGGGTGAGCCCATGGGGGGAAACGTTGCGTGTCCCGGTCCCCGCCATCACCGAAGCAGCTCAAGAAGAAGAAAAAAAAAACGAATGAGGAAAACCATCACATCGGCGAAGCCTGCTTGGAAGGGTCTAGGGCAAGAGGACTCATCACTCCAGCTCCCCCTTTGATGGATGTCCATGATCACTGAGCAAGGCAGTAGTACAAAGGCGGGCAAGAGCAGGCTGTCCAAATCCAAGACATGCATGGTTGATCACTCGTCGAGCACGCAAGCCAGTATGAGTGCTTGCAGTGCTCGCAGTTCCCATCCGAGGACACTTTGTGTCTCATTGCGCGAGGGCCTGTCATCAAAAAAAGCCCGGAGGGCTGAAACCGTTGAAGCCCTGGTTCGTCTGGCATCACCCACCCATCCACCCATCAAGTGGACAGCTACATGTTACATGTGACTGTTTCCATCGCAGGCACAACAGCAGACGTAGTTGCGGACAATCGCCGGTCGCGTGTGTGCGCGAGCCGAGCTACCCCCTGTTCCTCGCCGCCGCAAGTAGGACCAGCCGTTGATGACAAGGGCCGAGGCTTGACACCGCGCTTCGATCGACAAGCGAGCCAGTGAACATGCAACGGGTTGCGCTGCCGGCACTGGTCACTTGGTGATCGAGTCATGGGGACAACCCTTCAATTTAAAAACTCGATCTTAGCGTCGAGCAGGCTCGGTAGGAGCGACGCGGTGGGGGTCCAACGCGGCATTCAGACCCGCCAATTTATCACGCTCTCGGATGGCAGTCTTTGTTGGCTTGACAGTGCCTGTTGCCTTCAAAGCAAAGGCCTGTCTCCCTGAGAGGGGTGTGCCCCATCCGCTCGTGTGGATTGTCGTCGAGCGGGTACGCCCACTAGTTGCATTTTTGCTCGACCGCTCTCATCTCGCATCCTAAATCGTTCGTACCCCACTGCGCTTCCTTTTTTCGATCGTACCGAACCCACCTGCCCCTCCCTTCCCTCGTTGGTTGTCTTGAATTTGTAAGTCTTGAAGGTTTGCAAGCCCAGAAGAGTTGTTGTGTATCTTCTTTCCTGTCAGCGAAGGCAGCCCCATACCGCACCCGCTTATTTGCCCACTTTGCACCTGCCTATACCGTGCCTGCCTGCGCCTGCCCATATCACCACCCCATCCTTCAGATTCATTGTTTCGCCCGCTACTCGCCGCTACATCTTCCATTGTCAGCATTAAGTGTGTAACAGACTTGACTTGACCCACGAGGAGAGGCTTGGATTGCGCCGCTGCCCGATTCTTCTTTGTTCTGTTTAGCCCTGCTGCATTTGATTCAAACGACCAACCGCCATCGCTCCATCGGTTGTTTCACCTCATTCGTCCCCGTTCGTGTGCATCATCTGCCTGCGCACAACACATTGACCCAGCACCCTGCCAATGTAGTGTTGAGTGAGTGAGTGTGTAAGTGAGTGTGTGAGCGAGTGTGAGTGTGTGTGTGTGTGTGTGTGTGTGTGTGTGTGTGTGTGTGTGTGTGAGTGTGGTTGCTCGGGTATCTGCACCACCTTTACACACGTACAACCGCAGCAGTCGACGCACTGCGACTCGTGATAACTTTTCCTGATGACGCTGTTCAAATGGGTGGCTTTTGACAGCTCGACAGGTGTTGTGTGGATGAGCAAGATGACTTTTGTCTTTTTTTTTTTTTTTCAATTGTTCTGTGTTGGGTTGCTTTACATGTTAATAACCGTGTGTTGGTTGTGTGGTGTTTAGTAGCGTGTTGCTCATCGTCACTGTGTGTGGGGCATTGTTTCAATATCTTCTCACTCATCCACTCTGGGATAGCCCATGGGATCCCATACTACGACTCCTAGCCTGCCCACACCAACCGGGTGTCAGGCTTGATGTTGCCACGCGGACCACATTGTTCAGTGTTGGCCTTGACGTGGTCAGAGTGTTTTCTGGTTGGCCTGACGTCAGATACATCCCCTTTTTTGTGTTGGTTGTGTTGCTTTTTGTGTTGGAATGCTTGGCCTCGTGGATGGGTGCGTGCGCACTGTTCTGTTCTGTTGTGTCTCTGTCTCTGTGTAGGCCTCATGTGCTTGGCGTGGGTCTTGCCTCTGTCGATTGGCATCAGCATGTGGGGCCGCGAGCAAGTTAGAAAAGGGGGGTTGAGGGTTTGAGGGGGGAGGGGAACCCACGATGTGGGCAGTGCCAGCTGGCAGCGTTATTCCCTTCACCACAATCCCACACACTTCTTCACAGTCACACATCACACCTCAACACTTCACACGCCACCACAGACACACACACACACACAGACACACAGACACACAGACACACAGACACACAGACACACAGACACACAGACACACAGACACACAGACACAC